AGGGGGATGGGATGTGGAAACCTGGAGAGAAGTAGAGCCACATGAGCCAAAGGGGAGTCAGGAGCAGGAGGCCATAAAAGTACCTCATACAGCTGGGTGCATGGGAAGTGATCCTTACCCTGCAACAACTATCAAAGCTCAATTGCAATATGTGGACTCTGAGTCCCAAGGGTGCTAAGCTAAAAGTATATACTAGGAAGGCTTCCTGAAGGAGGTAGCAGCTGAGCTGGGCTTGCAAAGTCACTAGGATTCAGAGGCCGAAAGAAGACTGAAATGATAACTTACAATGGTTTATAATGGCAGACCGAAAAATTCAGGGTTTCAGAATTGCCAAGGTCCTTAGAGGTCATTTAGTCCAACTTCTTTTAGAAGCTACCAGATTTCTTTTGTAAATTACCCGTTAAGCACAGCAGAGTTGCCCCTCACAACTACTAGAAACCCAGTCAGAAAGGTTATTAGAGGATGAGTCTATAAAGCTTCTAACAGCCAACATTGTAGTTTTACTGGTCAAGGACAGTGGTTTTACTACATCGATGTGCCCAAACCACAAAATACTACAGCCTTTACCAAGTTACAACTCATCCATAATACACCAGATGTCACATGTTATTAATCTAGGGGGAGGGAATGTGGAGATACCGACTAGGGAAGAAACTCTTCTAGAATGTGGGCAAATAACTGTAGAGCATGAACTCCAGAATCCATACCATGCCACACAATCTGGCAGAGAAAGACAATGTGGGGACCTTGTCTAAAACCACAAACCAATGGTTACTAGAGCATTAGGTTCTTTTTGGTTTACTGGGAATATAAAAAAACAAGTTGAGGAAAAGAACTGGATTCTCATATTTATCTATTTTGTTTCTGGAAACCTTTGTCCTAAGAGGCTGCAGAAATTATGTGGTGATCTGAGCCCCAATTCTGCCTTCCAAGATCTCTTTTGGCATGGTCCTCATATAAAAAACATTCAACAAATGTTCGTTTAGCTCCTAGATACACAGGAAATTGCTATGCATTGTTTAAATACAGCATCTACAGTAGAAGTGTTAAAACGATATGAGTTAATCACGACAATGCACATGTAAAAGTTTATAGATATAGGCCAGGCATGGTGGCTCACGCCTGTAATCCCAGCACTTTGGGAGGCTGAGGTGGGTGGATCACGAAGTCAAGAGATGGAGACCATCCTAGCCAACATGGTGAAACCCTGTCTCTACTAAAAATACAAAACTTGCTGGGCGCAGTGGCTCACGCCTATAATCCTAGCACTTTAGGAGGCCGAGGTGGGTGGATCACCTGATGTCAGGAGTTCAAGACCAGCCTGGCCAACATGGTGAAACCCCATCTTTAAAAAAAAAAAAACAAAAGTTAGCCGGGCGTGGTGGCACGCACCTGTAGTCCAGCTACCCAGGAGGCTAAGGTAGGAGAATCGTGTGAACCCAGGAGGTGGAGGCTGCAGTGAGCCAAGAATGCACCACTGCACTCCAGCTTAGAAACAGATGGGGACTCCACCTTCAAAAAAAAAAAAAAAAAAAAAGGTTTATAGACATAATTAGGTGAGTTTCCAGGGGAATGACCCAGGAGACAGGCTTTGTCAAAGAGGTGGCTTAGATTGTTTTTTGTTTTTTCTTTTTCAGATGAAGTCTCTGTCACTCAGGCTGGAGTACAGTGGCTCAATCTTGGCTCACTCCAACCACCAGCTCCCAGGTTCAAGCGATTCTCCTGCCTCAGCCTCCCAAGTAGCTGGGATTACAGGCATGCACCACCACACCTAGCTAATTTTTGTATTTTTAGTAGAGATGGGGTTTCACCATGTTGGCCAGTCTGGTCTTGAATTTGTGACCTGAAGTGATCCGCCCACCTTGGCCTCCTAAAGTGCTAGGATTATGGGCGTGAGCCACTGCACCTGGCTGGACTGGGGTCTTTAAAGGTGACTTCCCTTCCCATAAGCAAAGGTGGAGACAGAGTCTGGACATTCTAGGAAGGGAAGGCACAAACAGAACAGAATAGGTATGAGGTAATCTCAGAAACACCAAAAGCACCCAGAAGGAATGGAGTGCAGGCTGAAAATGTAGAGAGGAAAGTGAGGCTGGAGAGGGCGCAATGACAGGCAATTATTTATTCCTTATCTATCAGGAAACTTTTCAAACCATAACAGATTTAAGGCAATATTAGAACAAATATTGTGGGCATACTGAACTATAAACAAAGCAAAGATAGTTCTTAATGACACTGCACGCCACAGCAAGAGTCATGTGCAATTAGAAGCCTCATTCAAGTAGCAGACACTCACTTGTTTTGATGGATTAGGCTGAACTCGGGCCTCAACGAGCAGTTGAGCAGAATTGGACTTGTATCTACAAAACAAAAAGCAGAAATGAAGGAAATTAGAAGCTAAAGACATTTTTACCCCTGCACATTAACAGGACTACCATGTTTTGTGGTCACAATGAAGCACTTTGCCTCTACTTTCTCACAGAACTAAGCTTCCTTTTATCTCAGTATAAAGACTTTTTTTTCTCAAGACAGAAAATGTGAAATATAAAGGAAAAATAAAAAAACATAAATCCTGATAAGTTATGCTACATTTAAGAACCTCAGTTCATCATTCATCAGAAAACACTAAAGTCAAAAGCCAAGTCATAAAGTGGAAGATGATTCAATATATAAACTTCTAGGCCAGGCATGGTGGCTTACGCCTGTAATCCCAGCACTTTGGGAGGCTGAGGCAGGAGGATCACTTGAGGTGAGGAGTTCAAGATCAACCTGGCCAACATGGCAAAACCCCGACTCTACTAAAAATACAGAAATTAGTCAAGTGTGGTGGCATGCCCCTGTAGTCCTAGCTACTTGGGAGGCTGAGGCAAGAGAATTGCTTGAACCTGGGAGGTGGAGGTTGCAGTAAGCCGAGGCTGTACCATTGCACTCCAGCCTGGAAGACAGAGCGAGACTCCATCTCAAAAAAAAAAAAAATTATATGTATAAGGCTGGGCATGGTGGCTCATGCCTGTAATCCCAGCACTTCAGGAGGATGAGGTGGGTGGATCACTTGAGGTCAGGAGTTTTAGAACAACCTCGCCAATATGGTGAAACAAAACCCCATCTGAATCCCAACTACTTGGGAGACTACGGCAGGAGGATCGCTTGAACCTGGGAGGTGGAGGCTGAAGTGAGCAGGGATTGAACCACTGCACTCCACTCCAGCCTAAGAGACAGAGCAAGACTCTGTCTCAAAAAAAAAAAAAAAAATATATATATACACACACACACACACACACACACACACACACTTATATATATGTACACACACACACACACTGAAAAGATTCTCAATCTCCTAAATATCAAAATGAAAAACAATCAGATGTCATTTACATCCACCAAACTGCAAAACTTTAAGTCTTACAATATCAGGAACACCTATATACCACTACTGAGAGTGTAAAGTGGTAAATCACTCTGGAAAACAGCCTGGAATTATCTAGCAAAGCCAAAAATACACATATGCTATAGCCAGCAATTTCCTTTCTATATTTAACTCCAGAAAAATTATGTGATAGGAGTCACCTACAATAATTTTCCATTTAAACAGAATTATCACATAGCAATAAAAGTGCCATACAAAGCCCAGGTCAACAAATTTCTGACATACCAGGAATTGGAGGAGAAAAGGATTATGTTTACCCTACCTAGTCAGAATGCTTCCCTCCACTATCCTTATTGAGGGGCCTGTTTTATTCCTAATTCCCACAGTAGTATTTTAAATATCTTTTGCCATCCAAATCTCCATTCCTGAGTTATACTGAAATAGTTTGGGTAGTGAGAGATATACCCTATTACCAGAGCCTATGTGTTTCCAGAGTTTTCAGCATTAGTACAATAGCAAGGCAGAAGCTCATCTGCAATTCCATCTAAATGTATTCCACTCTTGAGTACAGAGCATGAGTGCAGTTAGTGAATCAGGAACTAATCTGCTCTTTCCTGATTTTGCTGAGCTGCTCCGGCTGGTATGTCCTTCCCAGTTGTGTTCAGCCTGGAGAAGGAAAGGCATGATCTTCCTCTGTAGCTAAATTCTACTAAAAATACAAGAATTAGGTGTGGCGGCAAGTGCCGGTAATCCCAGCTACTCGAGAGGCTGAGGCGGGAGAGTCGCTCAAACCCTGGAGGTGGAAGTTGCAGCGAGCTGAGGTCGCGCCACTGAACTCCAGCATGGGAGACAGAGTGAGACTTTGTCTCAAAACAAAAATTTTTAAAAAAATCATAACATACAAGAAAGAAAGACTCACTGCAGTGTGAAAAAGCAGGGATGGTATTAGATGCTTCTCACCAGAGGCAATTTTGCTCCCCAGGAGTTATTTGACAATGTGTAGAGACATTTTGATTGTCGAGGACTTAGAGGTGTGGCTTCTAGTAGGCAGACCCCAGGAATGCTGCCAAACATTCTACAACTCACAGATCAGGCCCCTACAACGAAAAGTTATCTAGCCTAAAATGTCAATAATGCTGAGGATGAGAAATACTGTGCTAGATGGGACACAGGCCTCTGCGGGTGAGCATAGGAAAGCTCTACAGAGGATGCAGAGGAGGGCCCTTTTTCCTGACAACTTACATCTTGAGACTCTAAGGTCTGTATCTTAAGATCTCTAATTCTGAGAGTTGGAATGAAAAACTCAAATACGCTGCTGGCAGAGGTGGTGGTGGTAAAGCAGCCTACATTTTCTTTTTGAGATGGAGTCTTACTCTGTCTCTCAGGCTGGAGGGCAGTGGCACAATCTCGGCTCACTGCAAGCTCTGCCTCCCAGGGTCAAGTGATTCTCCTGCCTCAGCCTCCTGAGTAGCTGGGACTATAGGAGTGCCATCACACCCGGATAATTTTCGTATTTTTAGTAGAGACAGTGTTTCACTATGTTCGCCAGGTTGATTTCAAACTCCTGACTGCAGGTGATCTGCCCGCCTCAGCCTCACAAAGTCCTGGGATTACAGGCGTTGAGCCACCACGTATGGCCAGTAGCCTACATTTTCTGAAGAAAATATGACATGTACTATGATGCAATCCTCAAGTTGATGTATCCAAAAGAAGTAACAGATGTTGGCATGTGTTATCTAGAAAGATACTCATTAGAAATTAACAATGGCAAAGAAAATCTGAATTAACTTCACCGTCCAACAATAGAGGTTTAGAAAAAGTATGGAATATCTATGATAGAATATTGTGCTAGTATTAAAACTGGGGTAGCCGGGCGCGGTGGCTCAAGCCTGTAATCCCAGCACTTTGGGAGGCCGAGGCGGGTGGATCACGAGGTCAAGAGATCGAGACCATCCTGGTCAACACGGTGAAACCCCGTCTCTACTAAAACTGTAAAAAATTAGCTGGGCATGGTGGCGCGTGCCTGTAATCCCAGCGACTCAGGAGGCTGGGGCAGGAGAATTGCCTGAACCCGGGAGGCGGAGGTTGCGGTGAGCCGAGATCGCGCCATTGCACTCCAGCCTGGGTAACGAGCGAAGCTCCGTCCCAAAAAAAAAAAAAAAAAAAAAAAAAAAAACACAAAACTGGGGTAGAAGAATATACTGAAGACATGGGGAAAAGTTCACAAAATATTAAGAGAAGAGGATATAAAATAGAATCCAATGTTTTAAAAACATACTATGCACATTGGAATATAGTCCAAAAGGTAAACAATCATCATCATGGAGAGGGCAGCTATGGGCAACGTTATCTCTCCTCCCCCCAAATACCTTACCTGTCCAATATCTCTGAAACTTGCCAGTGGAAATTAACTAATATAAGTTTAGCAACTGAATGAGATACCTAGAAAGAAAAAAGAAAAAAAAAATCAAATTATAATTGCATTTTCTTTTAAAGTATTTCACATTTTGAGAAGTGTATACATTAATGTCTATGCCAAGCCCAGGCTGGATTACCAAATTCCTCCTCTTGGTTCTCTGCTTTATCTTTTAAGTTCGCATTCTTTTTTTTTTTTTTTTTTGAGACAGTCTTGCTCTGTCACCAGGCACCAGGCTGGAGTGCAGTGGCGTGATCTAGGCTCACCGCAACTTCCACCTCCTGGGTTCAAGCAATTCTCCTGCCTCAGCATCCCAAGTAGCTGGGACTACTGGCGCATGCCACCATGCCCAGCTAATTTTTGTATTTTTTTTTTTTTAGTAGAGACGGGGTTTCACCCTGTTGGCCAGGATGGTCTCGATCTCTTGACCTAGTGTTCCACCCACCTCAGCCTCCCAAAGTGCTGGGATTACAGGCGTAAGCCACCGTGCCCAGCCTAAATTCACATTCTTACAATCTTGGTGATTTCATGGATCTCTCGATTTTCTATCTTTGTTTTCATTAATGAACCTTTCAAGAAAATTAATTTCATTTGAAACTCAAAGACACCCATTCTATAGTAAATAACAACCTAGCATCTATTAATAATATAAGCAAAAGAACTGCAGGTTCCTTCATGTCAGTCATATATGTTCCCTCAAGCTGCTGTATGAGGTTGTACACAGGAAGTACATCTCTAGTTAGGCCTATTACTTATAAAAAATCCCCAGGCCTGAGTTTACATAAACACACAAAAACACCAGAAAACAACAAAACATAAAAACCCAAAACTCAGTTTAAAATCTCTGAATTCCCAGCAGCCAATGAGTCCTAATTGCAAGGAAAATTTCAAAATTTGTGGGCAGCCTTTCTGGCCCCTATATGCTCTTAGGGACATTTAAAGCACATAGTTATAGCTACTAAAGAAACTCAGATGGTGCCTTGAGCTAGCAATTCTACTTCTGTAAGTCCCCCTGAGGAAATGACAGAGGATATGTGTACCACAGGATTACTTACAACGGTAAAAAATTAGAAATAAATGTCCGACAAAAATGAGTTAGATAAATAATATATGACGGATCTATGCAATGGACTACTATGTGGTGATTAAAAAAGATTTAGAAGTCTATTGACATAAAAAGATGTTCTTTTTTTTTTTTTTTGAGACAGTCTCTCTGTTGCCCAGGCTGTAGTGCAGTAGCACAACCTCGGCTCACTTCATCTCCCAGGTTCAGGCAATTCTCCTGCCTCAGCCTCCCATGTAGCTGGAATTACAGGCATGTGCCACTACACCCAGCTAATGTTTGTATTTTTAGTAGAGAAAGGATTTCACATGTTGGCCAGGTTGGTCTTGAACTCCTGACCTCAAGTGATCTGCCCACCTCAGCCTCCCAAAGTACTGGGATTACAGAAAGCATGCTTTCTATTCTGACTTTTATGTCTCTTTATGCATGACCACCAAGTCCCAGCAAAGATACTAAGCCACTAGGAAACTCAGAGGAATTCTGACCATGTCCAAAGCACCTGGCCGCTTTTTTTTGGTTTTGTTTAAAATAAAGAGATGAGCTGTGCTATGCTGTCTAGGCTGGAATACAGTGGCTATTCAGAGGCGTGATCATAGCACACTACAGCTTTGAACTCCTGGGCTCAAGTTATCCTTCTCGAGTAGCTGGCATTCCATGTGCACGCCACTGCATCTGCCTTAGAAGTTCACATTTTAATGTTAGGTTAAAGAAGCAAATAAGCATCTACGTATTATAGTCATAATTGGGAAGTAAGCCAGTTACAAAACACCCTAAGTGTCAAGACTTGGGTAAGACCACAGAAGACTGGGATGTGTTTGGAGGCCTTAGATTAGGCTTCCAAGAGAGAGCACTACACACCATGAGGGTACTGCTAAAACAAGGAGAAACTAGTATTTAAGGTTAGAGTGCCAGGAAAACACAGAATGTTGGTTCTCTGCTCACTGGACTGAGTAGTTAAATAAGAGCTACCATGGACCTGTAAGGTAGTATGTGCCTGGTCCACAGATAAGAACTGCAGGGGAGGGAAGACACACAGTGAACACCACATGATCCCTCTTTCTAGCGTTCAAATCACTCCTGAAAGGAGACAAGTACCCATCTACTAAACAAGGGCACATCCCAGCACATGAGTAGCAGAGGCTTTGGAATCAGTGAGTGCCTTCCTGTCCCACAGTCCAGGTACATCTGGAGAAAATCAAGGACTCAAGACAGCTTACTTCACTCAGGATGGGGGTCCCTATTTTCCTTCCATACAAAGTAAGTAGCCTCTGACCCGTGCATGTTGCCACAGTATTTTCCTGCAGAGACCTATGCAGACTTTAGGCCTAGGTTTCCCAAATTATGGCTGATATTTCTTCTGTGTCCTTAACAAAGCTATTCGTCCCCAACAGACCACTATCACAAAATTAAAAGAGAGACAAGACATCTGCTGAATATAGCCTTTGGGTATGAATAGCTTTTTAAAAGAATTATTATTTTTGAGATGGGGTCTCACTGTTGCGCAGGCAAGAGTGCAGTGGCGTAATCTCAGCTCACTGCAACCTCTACTTCCTGGGATCGGGCGATACTCCTACCTCAGCCTCCTGAGTAGCTGGGACAGCAAGCCACCATGTACAGCTTATTTTTTTACATTTTGTAGAGAAATGGTTTCTCCATGTTGCCCTGTCTGGTCTTGAACCCCTAAGCTCAGGTGATCTGCCTGCCTTGATCTCCCAAAGTGCTGGGATTACAGATGTGAGCCACTGAGCTCGGCCTTATCTTTTTTTTTTTGAGATGGAATCTCACTCTGTCACTCAGGCTGGAGTGCAGTGGCGCTATCTTGACTCACTGCAAACTCTGCCTCCCAGCTTCAAGCAATTCTCTTCTTCAGCCTCCTGAGTAGCTGGGATTACAGGCACCTGCCACCATACCCGGCTAATTTTTGTATTTTTAGTAGAGACAGGGTTTCACCATCTTGGCTAGGCTAATCTTGAACTCCTGACCTCATGGTCCACCCACCTCAGCCTCCCAAAGTGCTGGGATTATAGGAATGAGCCCGTAGATAGCCTGGCCTTATCTATTTTTTTAAACAGAGATGAGGTCATACTGTGTTGCCCAGGCTGCAATGCAGGGCTGTTCACAGACACAATCCCACTACTGATCAGCATTGGAGTTTTCTGTTTTGTTTTTTAGAGACCGGGTCTCGTTTTGTTGCCCAGGTTGGAGTGCAGTGGAGTGCAGCTTACTGTATCCAAGAAATCCTGGGTTCAAGCAATACTCCCACCTCGGCCTCCCAAGATGCTAAGACTACAAGCCCACACCACCATTCTCAGCTAATTTTTTTTTTTTTATTGTTGTTGTTGCAGAGACAGGGTCTCGTTATGTTGTTCAGGCTGCTCTCAAACTTCTGGTCTCGAGTAATCCTCTTGTAGCACAGGAGTTTTGACCTGTTATTTCTAACCTAGGCCAGTTTACCTCATAAATAGTTTTAAAAAACATGAAGTGATAATGTTTTAGATGACCACCTCGCTGGAACCTTTTCTTTCTTCTCATACCCAGCAGGGCCCAATCAGCTTTATGCCATGCTTTCTGTTCTGACTTCTCTATCTCATTATGCATAACCACCAAGTCCTAGCAAAGATACTAAGCCACCCAGGAAACTCACACGAATTCTGACCATGTCCAACAGCTGCCTCCTCTTTTCACTACAGATGGCTTGAGTGGGCCCTTTAAGCTAAGAACAGGGGTCAGGCTGATTCACAGATCCACAAAGCCGAGAAATGGACTGGACACAGGGGTAGCCACTCAACAAATGCTGATTATTAAATGATATGTCTTTAATCTGTGGATTTAAAATAAAATTTTGCCATTTCATTAGAAAGGTCAAGAAAGTTTAACACTGTCTGATCTCTTGATTTCAACAGCCCTACAGCCACAATGAAGCCTCAGAATTAACACGCTAGGTAGAGCTCACCTAAAGATAACAACATAACCCTCTACTGAAGCCAAAAACTTCTTGATGACAAGTCTACTAATGACCAACTCAGAATATCCCAGCAGAGCTGACTTCTGGTGAGAACAAATAATGTGAAGGGAGATATGCTTACTACTTATAAAAATGACAGTGGAGTGGTGTAAATCTGTTCTTTTAATGCCAACAGTCAAGAGTACATCAATATATATAGGATAGGCCAGGCACGGTGGCTTGCGCCTATAATCCCAGCACTTTGGGAGGCCAAGGCGGGCAGATCACTTGAGGTCAGGAGTTTGAGACCAGCTAAGTTCTGGTCAACATGGTAAAATCCCATCTCTAATAAAAATATAAAAATTAGCCGAACATGGTGGCGGGTGCCTATAATACCAGCTACTCAGGAAATCAGGAGGCCGAGGCAAGAGAATCACTTGAACTGGGGAGGCAGAGGTTACACTGAGCCGAGATCATGCCACTGTACTCCAGCCTGGGCAATAGAGCAAGACTCCATCTCAAAAAAAAAAATATATATACACACACACACACACACACGTACAAATACACCCTAAGTGTACACACACACACACACACACACACACACACACACACACAGGACAGTTGGCCAACATCAGTGTCAGCTGTATGCATCTCCCAGCAGCCTTCTGTAAGAGACACTCCTGTGATCCCCACATAAAGACAGTGGTGACTGCCAGGCACAGTGGTTCATGCCTATGGTCCCAGCTACTCAGGAGGCTGAGGTGGGAGAATCGCTTAGCCCAGGAGTTTGAGATCACAGCCAGTGTGGCAACACAGCAAAACCCTGTCTTTTTTTCTTTTAATTTTTTTAATTTTCTGAGATGGAGTTCTGCTCTTGTTGCTCAGGCTGGGTGCAATGGTGCGATCTCAGCTAACCACAACCTCTGCCTCCTGGGTTCAAGCGATTCTCCTGCCTCAGCCTCCTGAATAGCTGGGATTACAGGCATGCACTACCACGCCCAGCTAATTTTTTGTCTTTTTAATAGAGACAGGGTTTCACCATGTCGATCAGGCTGGTCTCGAACTCCTGAGCTTGTGATCCACCCGCCTCGGCCTCCCAAAGTGCTGGGATTACAGGCGTGAGCCACTGCACCTGGCCAACCCTGCCTCTTTAAAAAAAAAAAAAAAAAAAAAAAAAAGGAAGGGAGAGAATTACCCATATTAGGGTTGATAGTACATAGAAGATTGGAGGCTCCCTCAAAAATCTACTACAAATCTGATGAAATTCTGAGACCACTAAGGGAAAATGCAGTGTTACTGCACCTCATCCAGTAATGAACATGAGGAAGGATCTATAGGAAAGCCAGATTCCTCAGAGCCCTCTGAGCAAAAGCAGCATAGAGATGGAGAAAAACAATGAGAAAACGATGCTCCAGAATATATTCTAAAAAGTAGTCTCAGCAGGGAGGCCACCTTTTCCCTGATTTGGGTCACAAGGGAGAACTAACTGAACCCCACCTCAACTCCCCAGCAGTTTTCCAGAGAGTAGTCGTCTTCAGCCATCTTGGCCTCTGGCAGGAGGGCCAAGACAAATCTAAACAATATTAAGCCAGATCAATGGTAAAAATCTGAGTGCAAACAGCTGAGCTTTCTAAGGGACGAACTAATATTCACATCATTAGTCTTTTTTTTTTTTTTTTTGAGACAGAGTTTCGCTCTTGTTGCCCAGGCTGGAGTGCAATGGCGCGATCTCGGCTCACCGCAACCTCCGCCTCCTGGGTTCAGGCAATTCTCCTGCCTCAGCCTCCTGAGTAGCTGGGACTACAGGCACGTGCCACCATGCCCAGCTAATTTTTTGTAGTTTTTAGTAGAGACGGGGTTTCACCATGTTGACCAGGATGGTCTTGATCTCTTGACCTCGTGATCCACCCGCCTCGGCCTCCCAAAGTACTGGGATTACAGGCTTGAGCCACCGCGCCCGGACACATAGTTAGTCTTTAATGCTCGAAAGAGCCCAACAATCCATTTAGAATCTATCACAGTCAGCACTTTCACAACTGAGTCTTTCCGCCCCTTGTCCCCTTGTTACTCTTCAGAATTTGTTCAATTGTGGAGAGAAAACCTTTCAGTAGAAACAAGAGGAGCTCTTGCTGGGCTGTTTTATCAAGGCGTTAACAACCTGTTGGTAGTTAGGATTAAGTATTATTATCAAGACAACTAATAAAGGCCAAATCTTTTCCAAAAGAAAAATGGATCCAGGGTGGTAAACAACCAATGTAAGCCAAAAAAGACTGCTGACTGGCCAGGTGCAGTGGCACATGCCTGTAATCCCAGCACTTTGGGAGCCTGAGGCGGGTGGATCACAAGGTCAGGAGTTCGAGACCATTCTGGCCAACATGGTGAAACCCTGTCTCTACTGAAAATACAAAAATTAGCTGGGCATGGTGGCACGCCTGTAGTCCCAGCTACTTGGGAGGCTGAGGCAGGAGAATTGCTTGAACCTGGGAGGCGGAGGCTGCAGTGAGCCAAGATCACATCACTGTACTCCAGCCTGGGCAACGGAGTGAGACTCTGTCTTAAAAAAAAAAAAAAAAAAAAGAGGCTGGTCCGAGTACAGTGGTGTTTACAACTAATTGATCACAACCAGTTACAGATTTCTTTGTTCCTTCTCCCCTCCCCCTCCTTCACTTGACTAGCCACCAAAAAAAAAAAAAAAAAAAAAAGAAAGAGAAAAAGAAAAATAAAAAAAAAAAAGACTAATGACTTGGAACACATGTGACCAATGTGGTGTTCAGAATAAACTTGCAGTTCTATTAGATCAACATGTAATCAGAGGATTAAAGGTCATATTTATTTGTGAATGCTTTTTCTTATTTTTTTTTGAGATGGAGTCTCATTCTGTCGCCCAGGCTAGAGTGCAGAGGCATGACCTTGGCTCACTGCAACCTCTGCTTCTCGAGGTTCAAGTGATTCTCCTGCCTCAGCCTCCCGAGTAGGTAGGATTATAGGCACACACCACCACATCCAGATAATTTTGGTATTTTTAGTAGAGATGAGATTTTACCACATTGGCCGGTTGGTCTCAAAATCCTGACCTCAACTGATGGATTGGCCTGTCTTGGCCTCCCAAAGTGCTGGGATTATGAGTGTGGGCCACCGTGCCCGGCACTATGAATGCTTTTTCTATTTTTAGAAATATTAACTGAAGAAAAAAACTAGGAACTAGAAAGTTTCTTGTCCAAAAGGAGTCTCAAGATAATTATTTGCAGTAAGCTGAGTCTCTCATTATAGAGCTAAAAAAGGTATCTATTGTTCCCTCTATTTCAGGGGCCAAAATGGGTGCCATTAAACAGGCACCCCTCAAAAGGCAAAGACAGTACCATTCAATGGGTTACTATTTCCAGCAAACCCATTTGCCAATTCATTTCCACTATTCCCAGAGGAAATCTCCCCACTGTTTAAATAGCAAACCCTAAGCTGGTGGAATCTCTTTGACAGTAACTTGGTACATTCACAAAACCATGAGTAAAGAATGGTTACAGGCTGGGTGTGGTGGTTCAAGCCTGTAATCTCAGCACTTTGGAATGCCAAGGTGGGAGGATTGCTTGAGCCCAGGAGTTTTGAGACCAGCCTGGGTAACATAGTAAGATCCCTTATCTGCAAAAAAAAAAAAAAAAAAAAAAATTTTTTTTTTTTTTAAATTAGCTGGGTGTGGTGGCATGTGTCTATAGTCCCAGCTACTTAGAAGGCTAAGGTAGGAGGATCGCTTGAGCCCAGGAGGTGGAGACTGCAGTGATCCATGATCACACCACTGCACTCCAGCCAGGGTGACACAGTGAGACTCTGTTTCAAGAAAATGAATAATCATGTTTAATAATTTATATATAATACTTTCGAAAGCTTATGGGGTCTGCCAAAATCAGAAACAAAAATTCACTGCTTATTCCTGTTTTTGATTCAATTTGGCTCATAATTTGATAGATGTTGATTTCAATTGATGAATTTCAATCTATTCAGAATTGCTGGTAGTGGCTTACGCCTGTAATCCCAACACTTTGAGAGGCTGAAGCGGGCGGATCACCTGAGGTCAGGAGTTTGAGACCAGCCTGGACAACATGGGAACCCCCATCTCTATTAAAAATAAAAAATACAAAAATTAGCCAGGCATAGTGGTGGGTACCTATAATCCCAGCTACTTGGGAGGCTGAGACAGAAGAATGTCTTGAACCTGAGAAGCAGAGGTTGCAAGCAGAGGTTGCAGTGTGCCAAGATCACACCACTGCACTCCAGCCTGAGCAACAAGAGTGAGACTCTGCCTCCAAAAAAAAAAAAAAAAAAAAAAAATTGCTGACAGTAGAAATACTATACCAGGCAACATAAATTCCCTTGTTGCCAAATTCAAACAATTCTCATACCTTATCTTGGTGGTAGAATCTGATGCTTCAATTCCCTCTGCCTTAACAATTCTCTCTGCCTTAACTACTCCCTCTTGATCTCTGTGATTCTTTCGTAGCACCTGTTCAGATACTCTGTGCTCTTCCTCTCGTATCCCCATCTTGCCAGTGGGGGGGGCATCACATTCCCACTCCTCCCAAGGTAGGACTGTTGACCTTTTCTTCCATGTCTCACTCTTCTTTAACCACTTTACCCTCTCCCATTACCAACACTCCATTGTCCAATCTCTAGTTCTTCCTCTCCTCGGCACTCCCATCAGAAGGGCCTCTCTCACATGGCAAGGCATCTTAATGTATATCCCTACTACTCCATAATCCTCAGGATGAGCTTCCTGACACCCTTATGCAACAGTAATAATAACACAATTCTTGCAGATCCCTTACATCTTGGCAGGATCAGCTCCTACCTTGTTTAAAACCCATCACTACTCTCCAATATTGACAGGACAAACTTTATATACCTTAGTAGGAGAGAGTCATCAGGACCCACCACCGAATCCCCCCACAGCAAGAGACTGAATGATTCCAGCACTCCCATATGTTTCTCTTAACTGTCAACTGCCAATAATGCCCTTCTTTGTAGCATACATTTAGAAATTAAATAACATACTTCTATAGAACCTTTGTGTCAAAGCAGAAAACAGAGAAATTAGAAAATGTTTTGAACTGCATAATGAAATACTGCATAAATTTCTGAGACGCAGCTAATATAATGCCTACATGAAAATTAAAAAATGTAAATGTTTATACTAAAAAGGGTCCAAAAATCAGTGACATAAGAGTCTAACCTAAGAAGCTAGAAAAATTTAGCGACTGCTGTGTATTACAATTTAAAAAAAGGAAGCTAGAAAAAGATGACTAAGTTAAAATGAAGTAAAAATAGTAACAATTGAGAAAAAAAAAATCCAAAACAAGAAACAGCAAAAATTAACAAAGTCTAAAAATGGATCCCTTAAAAATATCAACAAAGTTGATAAAACATTAGAACAATTAGGAAAAAAAAGAAAACAATTACCCATAACAGAGGTAGAGGATGGACCACACCCTATAAATCTTATAGATATTGAAAGGGAAACAAAAGAGAGAAATAAGAAAATGTTATGAACAATCTAATTCTAATAAAATTGACACCTGAAATGAAATTAACATGTTCTTTGAGGAATACTTACTAAGAATGACACAAAATGAAAAAGAAAAACTGAGCAGCTCTTTATCTAGTAAAGACATTGAATTCATGATCAAAATCCTTCCCACAAAATTCCAGGCCCAAGGATTTCACTAGTGAATTCTATCAACACTAATTTTACATAAACACTTTTAGAAACTAGAGAAGAAACATTTCTTCCAAACTCATTTTATGAGGTTAGCATAACCATGATAAAACATTTAAAAACCCCAATATTCCATAGACATAGACACAAAAATCCTTAATTCAAAAATTTCAGCAAATTAAATCCGGCAATATAGAAAAACTCCTTAATGTAATTCACCAAATTAACAAAATAAAGGGAAAAAAACCCAAATGACCTTTTCAACAGATGCAGAAAACCCATCTGACAAAATTACACTAATTCAAAACAAAAATCCATAGTAAATTAGGAAGAAAAGTGAACTGCTTGAATCTAAGAGCATCTATGAAAAACATCATACTCAATGATGAAAGACTCAATGCTAACAACAGGAAAATATCAAGGATATATATTCTCACCATTTAATTTGACTGCTTTATTTTATTTTAGATGGAGTCTTGCTCTGTTGCTCAGGCTGGAGTGCAGTGGCGCGATCTCGGCTCACTGCAACCTCTGCCTCACGGGTTTAAGTGATTCTCCTGCCTCAGCCTCCCAAGTAGCTGGGAATACAGGTGCCCGCCACCATAGCCGGCACATTTTTGTATTTTTAGTAGAGATGGCGTTTCACCATGTTGGCCAGGCTAGTCTCAAACTCCTGATCTTGTGATCCACATGCCACAGCCTCCCAAAGTGTTGGGATTACAGATGTGAGCCACTGAGCCCAGCCTCATTTGATATTATATACTGGAGACCCCAGCCAGTGCAATACGGCAAGGAAAAAAGGAATCTACAAAATTACTACTAGAACTAATAAATGTGGTTGGGCATAGTTGCTGAAGCCTATAATCCCAGCACTCTGGGATGCTGTGGTGAGCAGATCACTTGAGCCTAGGAGTTCAAGACCAGCCAGGGCAACATACTGAAACCCCATCTCTAAAAAAAATACAAAAATTTGGCCATGCACAGTGTCTCATGCATATAATCCCAGCACTTTGGGAGGCTGAGGCAGTCAGATCACATGAGGTCAGGAGTTCGAGACCAGCCTTGCCGACATGGTGAAACCCTGTCTCTACTGAAATATAGAAATTAGTTGGGCATGGTGGCAGGCACTTGTAATCCCAGCTACTCAGGAGGTGGAGGCAGGGGAATCCCTTGAACCCAAGGGGCGGAAGTTGCACAGATCTTGCCACTGCACTCCAAGCTGGGTGACAAAGAGAGACTCTAACTCAAAAAAGGAAAAAAAAATTAGCCAGGTGTGGTGGCCTGTGACTATTGTCCCAGTTGCTTGGGAGGCTGAGGCAGAATTGCTTGAGCCAGGGAGGTCTAGGTTGCAGTGGGCTGTAATCACACCACTGCACTCCAGCCTGTGGACAGAGTGAGACCCTGTAGAAAAACAACAAAAACTAACTAGAAAACTAATGGGCCGGGTGCAGTGGTTCACTCCTGTAATCCCAACAATTTGCGAGGCCAAGGTGGGTGGATTACCTGAGGTCAGGAGTTTGAGACCAGCCTAATGAACGCAGTAAAACCTCATCTCTACTAAACACACAAAATTAGCCAGGCGTCGTGGCGCATGCCTGTAATCCCAGCTATTTGGGAGGCTGAGGGAGGAGAACTGCTTGAATCCGGGTGGCAGAGGTTACAGTGAGCCAAGATTGTGCCACTGTACTGCAGTCTGGGCAAGAGCAAAATGCCATCTAAAAAAAAAAAAAAAAAAGCAAAATGGCCAGGTGCGGTGGTTCACACCTGTAGTCACAGCACTTTGGGAGGAAGGCGGCAGATAACAAGGTCAGGAGTGCAAGACCAGCCTGACCAAAAAAATAATAATAATAATACAAAGTTGGCCTGGTACAGTGGCTATGCTTGTAATCCCAGCATTTTGGGAAGCCAAGGTGGGCAAATCACTTGAGCCCAGGAGTTCAAGACCAGCCAAGGCAACATGGCAAAACTCTGTCTCTACAAAAAGTACAAACAATTAGCTGGGTATAGTGACATGCACCTGTAGTCCCATCTATCTGGGAGGCTAAGGTAGAAGGATCACTTTGAAGATGATACAAAGTCAATACATACAGAAACCAAATGTTAGAATTCAAAGAAAGAGCCAAAAAAAAAAAAAAAAAAAAGTATTTCTATATGGCAGCAGATTAAAAAATTAAATAGGTGTATTTTAATAATTGTATTTAACCCGATATATCTGAAATTATTTCAACATGTAACACATAAAAACGCATTGATAACCTTTTTTTTTTTTTTTTTTTTTGAGACAGAGTTTTGCTCTTGTTGCCTAGACTGGAGTGCAATGGCACGATCTCATCTCACTGCAACCTCCACCTCCCAGGTCAAGCGATTCTCCTGCCTCAACCTCCCGAGTAGCTGGTATTACAGGCATGCGCCACCACGCCGGCTAATATTTTAGTAGAGATGAGGTTTCTCCATGTTGGTCAGGCTGGTCTTGAACTCCCAACCTCAGGTGATCCGCCTGCCTTGGCCTCCCAAAGTGCTGGGATTATAGGTGTGAGCCACCGCACCGGGCTTATTTTTGTCCTTTGTTTCCTTCTAAGTACACTGTGTATTTTTGACTTACAGCACATCTCAATTCAAACTATATTTCAAATGAGCAATGGCCACACATAGCTACCATACTGGGCAAAAAACAGATTTTGAACACGACAGTCAAAACCAATCACAATGAAAACCCCAATCAAAACCACAGGCTTTTTAATAAAATTAATAGTTGATCTCAAAATCTGTAGAAATGTAAAGGATCCAAAATATCCAAAGCAATCTTGAAAGAGAAAAACAAAGTTGAATGACTTACACCATATGACTTCAAGACTTACTATAAAGCTATATACAGACAGTGAAGATACTGTCCTAAGGACAGACATATAGATCAATAGAACAAAACAGAGTCTAAAAGGAAACTCATACATGTATGGTAAATTTTCAACAAAGGTGCCAATGTAATTCAATTAAAAAAAAAAAAGTATTTTCAACAAATGGTTCTGGAACAATTAAATAACTGTTCATACAAAACAAAACACAGAACACAGACCATTACTTTATACCACATAAAAATTAACTCAAAAGAGTTCACATATCTAAATGTAATACCTAAAACTATAAAATTTCTATAAGAAAACACAGAAGAAAATTGTTGCCTTGGTTTGGGCAAAGATTTCTTATATGACACTAAAAGCGCAATCCTTAAAAGAAAAAAAAAGAATATAAACTAGACTTCATCAAAATTAAGCTTTTACTCTTCAAAAGACATCATTTAGAAAATGGAAAAGTAGGAAGCAGAAGTAGATGAAGTAAAAAAGAGAAAAAAAAGAAAAAGGAAGAGACAGATGATAGGATGGGAGAAAATATCTGCAAATCATACATCTGAATAAAAGCCTTCATTCAAACTATACAAAGCTCTTTTAGAACTCAGTAAGACACAAAATGCAATTTTAAATAACAAAGTATTTGAATAGACATTTCACCACACAAAATAAATGTATGAATAGCAAATAAGCACAAAGATCATTAATTAATGATTAATGACACTAGCCATTAGGGAATGCAACTTAAAATCACAAGATACTACTTCATACTCACTAGAATGATTATAATCCAGAAGACCTAAAATACCAAGTGTTAACAAGGAAGCAGAGAAACTAATGCTAGTGGGAATGTAAAGTAGTAGAACCACCTTGGAAAACAGTACACTTACCACGTGACCCAGCAATCCCACTCCTAGATATCTATACAAGAGAAATGAAAACACATGGCCATATTAAGCCCTGGACATGAATGGTCACAGCAGCATACTGCATAGTTGCCAAAAATTAGAAACAACTCAACGTCCACCAACTTATAAATGAACGGGTAAACAAAATATGGCAAGTCCATACAATGAAAAATCATTATTCAGCAATAAAAGAGAACACACTACTGACATATGATACAATATGGATGAACCTCAACCATTATGCTAAGAGAAAGAATCAGGCGACAAAAGATTACATATTGTATGACTCCAATTGTATGAAATTTCTAGAAAAGGCAAAACTATTGAGACAGAAGATCAGTAGTTGCTTGGGAATGGGGATCAACTACAAATGGACACAAAGGAATTTTTTAGGTGATGAAAAGTTCTAAAACTGAAACTGTGGTAATGACTACATAGTTGTATATTTAATAAAACTCAAATAATGGTACTTTTTTTTTTTTTTTTTGAGACAGAGTCTCACTCCATCACCAGGCGCCAGGCTAGAGTGCAGTGGCACGACCTCGGCTCACTACAACCTCCACCTCCCAGGTTCAAGCAATTCTCCTGCCTCAGCCTCCCGAGTAACTGGGACTACAGGTGCGTGCCACCACACTCAGCTAATTTTTTTGTATTTTTAGTAGAGACAGGGTTTGACCATGTTGGCCAGGATGGTCTCAATCTCCTGACCTCGTGATCCACCCGCCTCAGCCTCCCAAAGTGCTGGGATTACAGGCGCGAGCCACCGCACCCGGCCATAATGGTACATTTTTAAGTGGATGAGTTTAACGGCATGTAAATACTTTAACAGAGTTGTTTCAAAAATGATGTTGACTGATGGGCAGATAAATGATGAAGCAAATGGAGCAACACATTAGCAATTGTATAATCTAGAGAGTATGTATATGAATGCCCACTGTACAATTGTTTAAAGTTATTTATCTTAAATTTTTCATAATAAAAAGACAAAGTTTATTAAATTCAATGGCTATCACTCACATAATCAAATGTCACAATATACAAAAGGTTGACCCTTATATTACTCCATCAAATAGTTCACTTTGGCTTTTTATTATAATCCTCAAAATGACAAATACCGCTTTACAGTTTTAACAGTTTTCACTAAGGCTAACTGACTATATACACTATAGAGTACAATATTAATAGTGCCTAGTATAAAGTCATTTCCACATAGGCCTAAAATGCTGATAACTCTACAACATTCTCTGGCTTTTTTTTTTTTTTTTTTTTTTTGAGACGGAGTTTCGCTCTTGTTACCCAGTCTGGAGTGCAATGGCGCGATCTCGGCTCACCGCAACCTCCGCCTCCTGGGTTCAGGCAATTCTTCTGCCTCAGCCTCCTGAGTAGCTGGGATTACAGGCACGCACCACCATGCCCAGCTAATTTTTTTTTGTATTTTTAGTAGAGACGGGGTTTCACCATGTTGACCAGGATGGTCTCGATCTCTTGACCTCGTGATCCACCCGCCTCGGCCTCCCAAAGTGCTGGGATTACAGGCGTGAGCCACCGCGCCCGGCCCATTCTCTGGCTTTCTTGATCTCCCTGACCAAGGCTTCTGAGTATTCCACTGGATGTTCTGCTCCCAGTCAGCCAGCTTCTTCAATATCACTTTTCCACAGGCACGGCTTTTAGGCCTGCCTTCTCACTCCCTAGACTGACTTCGGGCAATCACATTTGTGCCTGCCCCTTAGCATGAACATAGGCCCCAAAGATAAGAACTCTCTCATTTTACTGGGAGCTAGGGAAGAAAGTGTATGAGCAACACAGAGAAGTGTGGGCAAGCATAAAGTTTACTGAAGAGCGAAGGGTGCCCTCAAGTTTCTGGGTAGTCCAAAGAAGGCTTTCACAGAGTCAAAGATCGCATCTGAACAAAGACCAAGCACATCCCTTCTTCCCTCTTTCCCTGAGTCCTTCAAACCTGCACCATGACAGGTGAGACACTACTGGGGAGCTTTCTTTCCAGCTTCAAATGAGCTTTCTCTCCTCTGTTGTCATTTACACTACACATTGCTCTGCATTATCCATAGCCCTCAATCCAATATGGCTTTGTTTTGCCATTGCATTTACAATGTCAGTACTCTCAGAGGTTTCCAGATCTTTATTTCAGGAAACATGTGCTACATGTATGTCAAAAAGACTTTGTTTATGGTCATTTGTATTTTCCAAAGGTCGTGAGCAAACATCCTCTATATAGGATGACAGAAGGTATTTGCTCACGACCTTTGGAAAATACTCTCTGACACAGGTCCTCAAAACATGTTCAGTAGTTACCATTTTGTTACACTGGCCTAGAAACCTAAAGGATAGACAGCTGCCTGGGAGTCCTCCTTTCTGGTTTTTAGATGAAGAACACAGTAAATGTATCACACAATTCTATGCATGCTTCACAAGCAGAGCTGAGGAATGGAGGACGGTGACCGGGGGAAATCCAGGCTGTGGGTCAATAATGGTAAGATTTTCTCACAGAGATGTAATGAAGTGAATATGAATGTTTTAGTCATGGTTATAACCAGCAAGCAGTTCCTGACATGGTTAGCAATAAACAAATCTACAATCTCAGCATTTTGTAAGATGTTCTGGAGGCACTTTCTTCCACAGCCTAAGGGTGTTAGACTAGAGAACTGTCAAAATCAAACTGTCACCTTAGAATGGAGACTACCTTAATAAGATAAAACTTATGAACCTCTGTGTCCTCTGACCTACTTGCTACAAGGATAAGGCTGCAGGGTTTCAGAATCTTAAGTAAGGCAACTCCAATAGCAATTTGCTTGTGGACTTAGACTAGAAATTCTGTGACTTGCTGCCCCACTTGCTGTTTCAACTTTGTTCAGTATAAGCAGAATTGTGATATCATTTTTCAAATCACAAATCCCAAGTCCACCTGAAATTTGTTAGTAAATAACAGCCACAAATATATTTTCTGATTTCTACCAAATCCCTTCCCCCCAACCACATTCAAGCAAGTCTCTATCAGAAGTTTAAACTGGCCATTGGAACAAACATTTGACTCCTCTGATCACAAAGAACTTAAAAATACCAGAGAGAGAGAAATCCTGCTACTGAAGGAAATGGTAAGCACATATGACATTCAGGACCCTTTCTAGTACACAATCAACATCTATCTTCAGAAAAAAATATTTTGAGAGTTCCAGGAAATTTAACAGTTATTATTTGACATCCTAGGGCACATGGATAGTACATGTCTATTAATTCAAAATAGTGTCACAGAACATACTAATTTTATATATGGATAAAGGCATATGCTAAATAGCCCCTGCTCCTGACAACAGTTCCCCAAGGATATCCATGAACATGATCAATTGCTTCTTTATCTTTTTAGTCCCCTCTAGCTGGTTCAAGCTCTCCAGTTCTCCGGGCAAATTAACAACATAGCTTGCAAATAGATTTTTTTACCCCAGAAAAAAGAAATCCAGCAGCCCACCAAAACTGTCACCAGCCCTTCCCACACTTACCAGTGCCATAGGGAGGATGCAGCTGATGGCAGAGAGCATCAACGGCCTGAAAAAATACAGGTGGTAGTTTCAATTTTTATTTAGAATTCTTTCTTGCCAACTGCCTGAAATCTTTTAAGGCTACATGAATGGGTCTTCATGCCTCAGCCTGCTATTTCGTGGCTCAATCACTTTTGTTAACAAACACTAGCGGTCACTCACTAAAAAGCAGAAATGAAGAAAAGGAGTGAACTGTGGGCCAGCTTCTGGGCCTGAGCTAGAAAGGCCATGGTATCGGAAAATCAGCCTAAAGAGATCAAGATGGATGGATTTGGGTCCGGGGACAAGGGATGATATGGAGGGAGGCAAGAAAGTACTAAAGGGACAAGAGGAAGAAAGAAAGTTAAAGCACAAAGACAAAGGAATAAATAAACACCAGCCTACAATGGGGCAAAATCAGCATAAGCAGTGGTGATGGTAATGGGGTCTCATAGGGCTTCTGACCCTAAACAAGGCTCACCCCTGAAGTCTAATTTAAGTGGTAGGATTTCATTTCTCCCATACTTCACACTTAAATATGCTCAGCCTCTAAAAGGCCTTCTCTCTGGCACTTGATCGTAACTTTGCCCCTTCTACTTTTCTTTACAGGGACAAGAAGGGAGGGCTGACTTGTAACTGAGGCACCCAAATGTTATATATCTTTTTAAATCTGATTAATAAACACAAATTTGAAGACTTCTCACTAGCCTAACCTTGATTCAGTCCTAACTGCTATGGACTCCAATCGTTAAAATCAATACCAAAAATACAAAAGACCTCACTCAATATAAGGTTATTTATGTGAAATGTAATAATGTAAAAATATTAATCATTCCTTGACCATGAGAGCACATTTTTTTTAATTACGAAAAAATTCAAACATCTACCAAAGTGAAGAGTATAATGAAATCCATTAACCAGCTGGTCGCCAGACCCACTGTGTCTCCATTCCAGCCCTCCCCTCTTCTCTCCAGATTATTGTGAAGTAAATCCCAGCCAGCATTATCTTTTAGGGTTTATTTAATGGAAACCTGAGAAGTAATTAATACAAAGCGCTGGTTATTGCCCTTTTTTTTTTTTTTTTTTTTTTTTGAGATGGAGTTTCACTCTTGTTCCCCAGGCTGGAGTACAATAGTGCGATCTCAGCTCGCCACAACCTCTGCCTCCCAGGTTCAAGCGTTTCTCCTGCCTCAGCCTCCCAAGTAGCTGGGATTACAGGCATATGCCACCACACTTGGCTAATTTTTTTTATTTTTAGTACAGATGGGGTTTCTCCATGTTGGTCAGGCTGGTCTTGAACTCCCCACCTCAGGTGATCTACCAGCCTTGGCCTCCCAAAGTGCTGGGATTACAGGCATGAGCCATCATGCCTGGCCAGTTATTGCCTCTTCTAGACTTCTAACAGATTTCCAGCGGAATGCCACATAGGGAGATTATGTCCAGCAACCACAACCAAAGGAAATGCAGATGGGAGCCGAAATCAAATGAATTACACATAGTAGGACTAAAAGCTGAGTCTCCATTCCTGTACCACAGCCTATCCTGTACAAAAATTATTTTAAACAATGCTCTATGGTAGTACCATCTTCTCTAAAGGGCAGGCACTTCAGAGACCAGCACATCTTAATGAAAAAGCCACAGATTCCAAAAGCATGTTTTAATAGCAGAGCTACTATCTCACCAACTGCTATCCTTTGATACTCCTTTATGCTCAAAACATATAACCCTATTTTTATAACCTTTCTGTTTATATAAAACTCCATAAACAGGAACAGAATTTCTGTCCCCCATTGAGGGCAGAAATTTTTTGCCTGACTCCCTCTCTGCCAAACCCAAGAACCTGGAACAATACCTGTGCTAGCATTAGGTCCCATATGCCAACATGGCCCTCTGCCTGTCTCCTGTGGTCCAGCCTTGTCACCACACACCCACATCCACCACAAGAGTGTATGAAGGTGCCAAGGCCTTCCAAGCCCTCAGGGATGCACAGGGATGCAGGTGAGGCCGGACACAGCTTCTCTGAGACAGGTTAAAAAAAGATGGAGGGCTTAGCAGTCTCTCAAGGGTTGCAAGAAGGGTAGTGATGCTGTCGGTAGGTTGGAGGAGGCTAAAATCAAGTATGTAAGTTAGGGAGTGAGAACAATAAGGCTAGAGCCTGGAGAATCCACTTTAAATTTTTCAACAGAGCAAAATAAAGTGGTGCTTCAGTGGATGTATCAGAAAAACAAAAAGCGGAAGGAGGAGGCAGATATTAAAGACAGAGAGATCTTTAAGTTATTTGAAAAAGAAGAGGTTGGCTGGGCATGGTGGCTCACACCTATAATCCTAGCACTTTGGGAGGCCAAGGCGTGCAGATCACCTGAGGTCAAGATTCAAGACCAGCCTGGCCAATATGGTAAAACCTCATCTCTACTACAAATACAAAAATCAGCTGGGCATGGTGGCACATGCCTGTAGTCCTAGCTACTTGGGACGCTGAGGCAGAACAATCACTTGAACCTGGGAGGTGGAAGTTGTAGTGAGCCTAGATCACGCCACTACACTCCAGC